GAAACTAGCTTGTAGTTTAAATTAGTTTTCTTCCAACACTATATTATATATATATAAAATAAAAAGAAGAGAGAGAGAGAGAGAGAGGTCATACATTAAAGCTTTTTGGGGGGGTCACAGAGCATGGATGCTGCTGCTTCATTTTCAAATATTCTGTAATACTACAACAGCATTACAACATCCATTAGAGAAAATAAGGGCACACATGCAGTACACCTATCACAACGTAGGTTTGTAAATATTATCCAGTAGGAGCCCAATCCAAAGTCCCTTGAAGTAAATAGAGAGGTTCCCACTGATCTGAATGGGTTTTGAATTAGACCCCCAACATGGCTATCACTGATTTTGGTGGGGAGCGGGGAGAGAGGAACATATCTATTTAAATGCTTTGTTCAAGTTAAGGAACTAAGGCAAAGGGTTATCTGTCATCTGAAAATGCCCAGAAAACTGTGTTTAAAACTTTCGTCAATCTTGACTGGCTAGGAGAAATCCCGTTGTCCAGAAGTCTCGGATAGCCACATAACTCAGTCCAGACACAGGACACCTAATTATTCACTGCTCTCAAGACAAGCTGCTGACTTGCACTTAAGACTGACAAGCCAGCACTCCTGACCCAAGGCTGAAAGTGTCCCTAGTGTCCTATAGGTGAAAAAGTCTTTTTATTGACACAGTGCAGTACATACATTTGTATCGGTTTGGATTACAGAGTTTTATAGCCACATATAAAACTGCACAGATCCCTAAAAGAATACAGAGAGTTCAGGCAACTGTTAGTTTTGGGAACAAGAATGGTCTAAACTATCATGCATTTCTCTAACAACCACATACTGCAGTTTGAGCATTACAGGTGAGTCATTTATGCCTTTTACAGTCATCCCGATTATAAAATTGATGAAACTGCCCAGGGCAAGAATGTAAATTATCCCATCTTTAATCCATTCATTAGATTTAGATATTTTGGGGAGTAAGGAAAATATTTGCATCTCTTTCATTCTGAAATGAGTGTTGCGTTCTTGCACTGAATTTTCTTAAGCATTAAATGGATTAATCTGAACACTATATGGCTAATAAGGAACCATAAATCCATTGTGAACTAAACTGTCCTGCTCGGTTTACAACTAAGTATTTCTTTAATCCTCACATTAAAACTTTTATGCATGAGAACTATGCCTTTTGAATTCAAGCTTTTGTTAAGGAGCAAATGGAGATATTACTACACCTGGACCACATGGTGAATTACATATTGTATTAGAGCAGTGGCTCTCAATCTTTCAGATTACTGTACCCTCTCCAGGAGTCTGATTTGTCTTGCATACCCCCAAGTTTCACCTCACTTGAAAACGACTTGCTTACAAAATCAGACAAACACAAAAAAGTGTCACAGCAAACGATTACTGAAAAATTGCTTGCTTTCTCATTTTTACCATATAATTATAAAATAAATTGATTGGTATATAAATATTATACTTGCATGTCAGTGTATAGTCTATAGAGCAGCATAAACAAGTAATTGCCTGTATGAAATAGTTTGTACTGACTTTACTAATGCTTTTTATGTAGCCTGTTGTAAAACTAGGCAAATATGTAGATGAGCTAATGTACCGCCGAAAGACCTCTGTGTACCCCAGAGTTACAGGTACACCTGGTTGAGAACCACTGAGTACACAGTATTGTGAATCTATAGAAGGTTTTCATTAAAGAACAACAGACTCTCAGTGAGGTTCTATGTAAACAAAACTTCACAGAACACCAGTGTAGCTATGTGTATATATAGAGTCAAATTTACAAAAGCATGTATGAAATCCCTGAGGGTTTACTTGGGTCTACAACTAAATGGGAGCATAAACCCCAGTTTGGGCACCAAGATATTTGTTTTGCACATAAACTTCATGCGGTTGAGTTTTTTATTTACCCATTGTTTGAATCTCCTCTCAGAGAAGTGGGTGGGGGGGGGGGGAGGAGAGGAAATCCTATCAACAGGCCCCAACTAAGATCAGGGCCTCATTGTGCTAGA